AGCATCCCCTTTAACCAAGATAGAAGTGCTCATGTAAGGGGAAATGAAATTATGTTAGTAATAAAAAATATATTTTCAGCATCTGTGGTTGCTGATTATGTATCTCTGACAGCACATTTGCTACATGGAGCCCATTCTATTCAGGGAACGGGTAAAAATTTTCATCTGCTATTGCATTTCAGTTTATTAGTTGTGTTTTACAAAGAGTAATTTATCTGTCTCCTTTACTAGGTATAACGTGAGATAATCACGTTGCAGTAAGAATGTCCATTATGATAAGCAAGTTTGTTTTCTTGGCTCTCATCTTGTTCTGAGACACGTTTCATCACGTAGCCCAGGATGGCCCTGAACTTGCCACCCTCCTGTCTCAGCCTCCCAAGAAGCTGAGGTTACAGTCATGGGCCATAGCACTCAGTTTTGGCCCCGTTTTTACAGTACACAGAAGGCATCTAGCTCATACTTCCTTGAGGCTTTTACTGAATGTAGAGTATTAATATCCTGTGACTTGAGTTATAGGAGTAATACAGAACCTGATAATAGAATAATGGTTTGGTTTTATGAGATCATTTGAGATCACATGGTGTGTCCTTACTTTCAAAGGAATAATGATTGTAGTATGCATCTTGAATGAACTACCTTGTGAAAAGAAATTAATTCTCGATGGCAATAGTGCACAATATAGATATTCCCTGACTTGCTGTGGGATTTTGTTCCTTTAAATCCATCGTAAGTTGGAAATACCAGAAGTCTAAAATCTGCTTCACACATCTAACCTGCTGAACATTGCGTGGCATAGCAGCACCAGACCTTGGAGTATGGGCCGTGTCCCTTCATGCGTGTGTGGCTGGCGGGGACTGTGGCTCACTGCCGCTGCCCTACATTGTGATAGAGGATGGCGCTTGGTAGCGCTGGCCTGGGAGAAGACCAAACTTCAAACTTTGAAGTAGAGTTTCTACTGACTGTGTGTTGCTTTCACCTCATCTCCAACCACTAACAACAAAACCTTGTTAGCTAGGTGGGGAGGAGAAGCTCACCTGAATGAGACAGAGGGAGACATTTGATGGAATTTAAAATGTTGACATTAGATGGACATTAGATGGAATTTAAAATATTGATCTGCTCTCAAAAGAAAGCCTAGCCAGACTGCATAAACACAAAGTCCCAAAATTATCATTCCTAAGACTGACCTAGGCATTTCAAGATTCTTCCATGGCCTCTGAAGTGTGTGCAGTTGGGGTAGCCACCTTGAGATTCTTAAATATAAAAGCTCACATGAGCATTCTCTTCCTTTCTTGGATTTCTTTTCTTTTCCTTGCCCTAGGTATGCTTTTTCTTTGATGGCACCTGTAACAATAATTTTGTTGGTGGACTGTTCAGCGTGACATGTCCCATGACTGCACCTCTCTGAGAGACGCCCCTGTCAAGAAATCCCAGGGTTTTCCTGAAAATGTCCTATATTTCACATGAATGGGCTCAGTTCCTCTAAATGCTGTCTCTAAAGTATTCACTGCCTTGTGATACAGAGAAGACTCTTCAGCGATATGGGACATTTTGATCATTGGTTGTTTTCTAGATGTTGTATATGTGAATGTCTTTTGTAGTTGTTTTATATATATAGTTATTGTAGATGGTGGGAAATGTTTATTGCTTATGTCAAAAAATTCTATAGTATTGGATTTTGGAATTATTGTTATGAAGAGCAATGATTGTTTTCGGAAAAAGAGAGATTTTACAATAAAATAATTGAAAAAGAAGTATGTAGAACCTTAAATAATATATTAACCCATAGGTACCAGTGCTCACTTAGGATCCCAGAGCAGACAGCTAGTAAACCCCTTGCAGTACATTATCAAATGCACTATTCACACGACCAAGTTGCATGCATGAATAAGTAGTATGCGCAGAGGGCTAACCCTCTGGAAGGTGCTAATCAGAGAATTTAGGTGGCTTATCTCACTCCACCTCATCACGGTCCTGTGAGGTAGCTTACACAAGCGGAGACCCGGAAGGCACTAGCATCCCAGGAATTGTACGCATCTGTTTGGATTTGCACTTACTGCTGGCAGCATGGAAGCCAGTGAGAAAGCCCAGAGGCAAGAGATGGATCTAAATGTGACTGTACCCAGGAGGCCCCCTGTGCGCTCTCTTGTTCTTCCCTAGTAGACGTGGAATTCTTGGCAGATCCCAAATTCTGCACAGGAGCATTCTGATTGCCTTTAGGGTTAGTAAGGTCATAGCCAACTTCTGACATCCGTTAGGCCCCTAGTTCACATTCCACTAATTTTTGTGCTTTTTTCGAATAGTGGCTGGAGGCTTCGATGACAGGGTGCAGTCGAGCCTCCTTGTCTACAAACTCACACCACACCTGACTGCTGCTCTTTATTTTGTTGATCTGGACAGGAGACTTGTGGCACGCTTGAAACTATCCACTTGCATTTCAAAACTGGCTCTTCAAGTTCTCAAAACCTCTTGTCAGCCTGAACCTCAGCCAAGGTTAAAACTGCCAAGTATCTGTATGCTGTCCTGACTCACAGCCCAAGGACTCTGGGTCACATACTGATTGTTACAAAGCTTTGCAGAACCATTCTGTGGAGGCTGCTTGTGTGTGAGGTTATCATTTTTTTAACATCTTTTTCCCCCTCCTCATCATGATTAAGCAAAATCCACAAAAGGAAGGGATGTCCTCAGATCTCTTTAAGAAACGTGTACTTCTTTAAAAAGCATATGCTTTATATTAACTTTTGAATAGGTTATGACTAGAATATCATAAGTATATACTGAATTAAAATGAAGATATATTATTTAAGCCGTGATCATCAAGTGGACCATATACGTCACCGGGACAGGTATTTGGTACGTGGTGCTTATGTTGGCGTTCTAGAATTATACCAACAAGGTTCTGTTTTACGTGCATGAAACTTTACTCTCTAAAAATTATGCTTCTTCAAGATTCATGTGAGCCCCCTAAGCTGTGTTTAAAGAAGAATACATATCAGGGAGCACAGAGAAACTCAAAGCAAGATGTACCCATCGGCTTCTTCAGTATAACAAACCACACCAAAAAACAACTCGCTGCTTGTCGTGCCTGTGAAGGAGGAATGAAGCAATCCCTGTGAGGCTTCTCTGTAGTGTCTGGCCAACACTGAGCTCTGGTGGTGCTTGCCCTGGTCTCACCTGGGCTCAGGTGCACTCTGCATGTATCCTCATCCTCCAGGAGGCCAACCTGAGCTTTCACGGTGTTCCCAGTCCAGTTTTAAATAACTACTATGGTGCACTGTTTTAAGTGTTCTATTTTACCTGGCAAGCACAAGGTCCTGAGTTTGATTCCCGGTACCAAAAAAAAAAAAAAAGTGTTCTATTTTAGTATTAATTATTGTTGTCAAGTTTTTTTCTCTGCCTAATTTTTAAATTAAATTTATCAGAGGTCTGTGTGCATAGGACTAAGCATAGTACATAGAGGGCCTGGTACTATCCATGAGTGTAGGCATCCAAAGAACATCTTGAAATGTATCCCCCACTTACCCGTGGGGAGTACTATACTGCTAAGAATTTGTGTCTACACATTATATCATGTATAGGCTACCTTGGGCAAAATTACTTGCATTTCTCCAGTGAGGAAAACAAGCTCATTCCTATAATTGTGTGTGAGCATAGCATTAGCCTTTTAGTCTAGACAGTTCCTTCTGGTCTGCACCAGGTACAGATGAAACTCCTCAGATACAGCTCTTCAGATACAGGTCCCCAAGCTGGGCATGGTGGCACACGCCTGCAGTCCTAGCACTTGGGAGGCTGAGGCAGGAGGATCACCGTGAGTTTGAAGCCAGCCTGCACTGCACAGTGAGACCCTGTCTCAAAACAAAACAAAACAAAACAAAACAAAACAAAACAAAACAAAAACCCTAGATGTGGGTCCTCTTTATTCTGAGACCATAAACTAGAAAGATGGGCTCTTTCCCCCCGTGCACACACAGAATACAGTGATGAGATCAGGAAAAGTTGGCCAAAATAAGCACTGCATTTTAAAAACAAGCAAAGCCTGACCAGGATACAGAAACGGTCCTGGGGCCACAGCAGTTCTGTGTGGATACACGGTGCCAGGTCACCTCCTCCTAGGCCAAGATTTGCTCCATGGTTAAGACCCAGCTCTGGAACTTGGTCAACCAATCTGATTTAAGTCCATGCCCGTACTACCCACATCTACAATTTGATTCAACTCAGGCCTCCGTTTACAGTGGCCTGAGGGTCAGGCCACTCTGTAAGCCCTTATCTGGCTACCAGGCACCACACTGAGTTTTACAGATGTTTCACTCAGACACCTTTTCTTATTTTGAGACTCTTCCTGCTACAAAGACTGGAAAGGTAGAAAGGCTTTATTTTCCACTCTGTTGACTTTGAGCTCCTTTCTGTGTTCTCTGAATAGCATTTATGAGCTGGACAGTTCCATTTTTACCTTTGCTCTCTGTTGCAGACCTTCATATGGAACTAGAAATGCTCAGCTAACATTTCAGTATTCTGTCTGGAGATCTTTGCAGCCTGATCCAAAATTCATTAGGTGCATTTGTGCCCTTTCAGTTCTACACGCTGCCGCAGGCCATCGCATCGCGGTTGTTTCGCTCCTCTGTAACGTGGAGGGCCTTTGCTCTGACTGCTCTGATCATTTCCCCGCTCCTCCAGCCGTCTCTAGCGCTTCGCCTGTCACCTTTCCGGTATCTGCTGACATTTCACTCACTGCCTCTCTCCAGCTGCCTGGACTCAAAGCCGGTGGCGAATGTTTTAGATTTTTGTTCTGGCAGCATGAACTTCGAGGTACCAACCGCGGCATTGGTTAGCTTTTGCTGTATAAGGAGCTGCCACAAATCTTAGTGGCTGAAAAAGCAATGATGTATTCCTTCTCACAGTTCTGTGCACCGGCTGAGCCGTCTTGCCTGGGCCTCGTCCGGGCTCGTTCCCGCTCAGTCACCTGGTGGGAGACCTGGGGCTTCCTCAGAGTTGTGTCTTGGTCCTTTTACATAAGTGCTGTTCAGGCCACTGCATCGTACTTGCTATAGTCTCATTGGCCAAAGTGAGTTCCAGGCTCAAGCCAAATTTGTGGAGTTGGAAAATAGCGTGTACCTCTTGATCAGAGGAGCTGCAGCCTTTCACATGGAGTGTATACGAATGTGGAGGGTGCAGAAGAGTGGGGCTTGGGAAGTTAGCTTAAGAAGGGAGGATCTGAATGATAGTCTTCACATCCTGGAAATAAGCTGACGATCTTTGGCTTAGTGGTTTGCAGACTACCTAGGAATAGAATAGTGAAATGAATAAATATCATCTATTGGAATCCCGCTATATGCCATGTTCATAAAATCCTTTACACATACCCAGATTTTATTACTATAAATGGGAATGTCTAGTCCATAAAAATTTCCCCCATAATTTAAGATATTGAGGGCTGGGGATATAGCTCAGCGGCACAAGAGTCTGCCTGTGAAGCTCTAGGTCCTGAGTTTGATTCCTGGTCCTGAGTTTGATTCCAGGTACCAAAAAAAAAAAAATCCAAAAATTTAAGGTGTTGAAACATGCAGGCTATTTTCACTAGTAATCTTCTTCCCATCATTCTTGGTAGGTTAGCTAAATCTAGCGAATGTTTCTTGCCTCATTTTAAAATTAAGGCACTAGGGGCTGGGGATTTAGCTCAATGGCAAAAGCGCCTGCCTGGCAAGCGCAAGGTCGTGAGTTTGGTTCCCGGTACCGGAGAAAAACCAAAAAAAAAAAAAAAAAATTAAGGCACTGTGCGTGATAATGTGATAGCGTTTTTCTGCTCTCACTGATTTTACCAAACAGCTTTATTCTCCTTATGAAGTTAAGCAGATGGTGGGTGGACAGCAGGTTGATTGTCCAGCCCAACGACTAGTTCATCCTGGACACTCAAGTGTGTCACTGACATTAGTTTTTTGTTCCTTGCTTTACTTAGCAAGCTTGAGTCTGGAGGGACGCGGGTTCACACTTCACTTACCATTATTAAGTGCTTGGTTAATGTGTTAGCCTGCTGCAGTCCTTAAGGAAAGCAAGGAGATAGCTGGTGGTGGTTTGTGGAGATTGATGAGTAAGGCTCGACTTTTTAACCCTAGGGGGAGAGAAACACTAAAGCAAATAAAACATGGTTCAAAGATGTTAATGATGACATCAGAGTCATCAATAAACTGTGTCAGTGTCCTCTCTGAGGAGGCAGGGAATTGTGGCAGTGTATTTCAGAAGAGGGTTTCTGCACAGATCGGCGAATGTCTCTGACACACAAAGAGGAAAACTTCGGTGATTGTGAAGGTGACTTATATGGAAGAACCTCACGCACTGATGATGTTGGATAATGCAGATGTTTTTGTAACTTGAATCATCTTTTTTTTGGTTACAAACAGTTTAAAAAATAGTATAAAAGTACTATAAAAAGGCTGGGGCTATAGCTCAGCAGTGCAGTGCTTGCCTGGCAGTCTGGCAAGTACAAGGTCATGAGTTTGATTCCCAGTACCCTGCCCCCCAAAAAGTAGGACCTAAGAGACAGATATAAAAAATCTGGAAATCAGAACATGAGTACTGTTAGAAAGTCCACATTTAGAGCATACAGTATATCTTGGGCCCAAGATCTTTCTTGCTTCATAAATAGCTGCATATTATATGCAAACCTTGTGTGTGTCTATCTAAATGTGTACCTTTGTTCTTCTCAAGACACTTTCTGAACTTATATTAAAGCACAACGAAGTCTAAACACCTTGTATCATAAATATAGCTAGGCGGGTCCTTGCTCACTTTTGGATTTGTTTCCCTCCTGTAACCTTTGGGTCGATCTCTTAGTAAACCTCACATGATCAATTTTTGCTTTGCTCTGCTTTTTACTGTGTATCCCCATGACTGAAGTTTCTCATTACTTACAAAAATTACCTTCATACGTTTCTGAGAAAGCTTTTGTTTCTTGGAATTAGGCAAAATTTGCTTCATGGATGTATCAGTTGCCTCAGCTGCCCTAGCAGAGGCCCTCAGCCTGGATGCTTCCACAGCAGAGCAATTCTGAGGCTGGAAACCCGAGATGCAGGCATTGCAGGGTGGTTCCTTCTGAGACAGTGCTCCTTGGCTTGGAGATGGTTGCCGTTTCCCATCTCGGTACGGCCCTGCCTCTGTGCACGCACAGCTTCTGTCCAGATGCCCTCCCACTGGATTCCTCTTATTTCACCGCTCATATTGGATGAGGGCCGCCCCTGAAGACTTCACTGTGACTTAATTATCTCCTTACATAGCTTAGCTCCAAACACCATAGCACACTGAGATTCTGGGGCTAGGGCTCCTGCATGTGAATGGGTGTGGCGTGCAGTGGGATGGAGAGACACATGTCAGCCCATGACAATATATGAACATCTTTTTCTCGTTCCTCCGTAGTAAGTAGGCACAAAGCCTCTCCTTTGTGGAGTAGATACGACTGTACCTTGTGTTCATAAAAAGTTCATTAGGAGCAAATTGGGAACTATAACTGTTATGGTGTTTTTTTGTAGAATCCAGTGTACTCATTATTTATGTATGGAGTTAACATTTCCATCCCTTTTCTTCTTTTTTCCTGTGTGTGCGTGTTGTGTCATTGGAGATCATAGCCAAGGTATCTAACATGTTAAGCAAGCGTCTTTCCTTCCTGAGATGACAGAAAATCTCAAGATTTTATATGCCAAATATGGCAGGTTCTCCCTGTCAGGACTGAGGTCCCAGTGACCAGGATCTTTAGCTAACTGTTCATTCTGAATGCTGTCAGAGAATGTATTCGTGAATTTGAGGAACTTGAAGTTTGATCTTCCATTTTTAAAATATTTTCCTCTGGTTGGTGCCTTCAGCAATTGTAATCGTTCACCAAAAAGCAAGAGGTTGGAGTTAATGATCTTTAACATTCTTGGCCTTTTGGGCTTCCATAGATGGTCTGACTCACTAGACTGAGGGTGAGTTCTCAGTTGACTCTGACTTCTTCTCTGGCTCCCGTCCATCCCAAGGACTGGTACATGGTGCTGAGAAAAGCTACCAGCAGCTACCTGTTCCTTTCTCTGTCAGTTATTTGCTCATGGAAACTGCTACCAAACTGAGGACCATTGAAGTTCTCCAGAACTGCAGGATTTTTATTAATAAAAAGCTGGCATAATAGATACCTATGGAATGGGTCACAATTGTGAGTGTGTATTAAAATTAAGTGGCCACCATCTTCAGCCCACTGGATCAGAAGCTGTAGTGGCCTAGGTATCTGCAATGCTGGAAGCTTTCCAGGTGAATCTTTTGTGTCCTAATGACTAAAAGCCACTTAACTATCATCTCTTTGTTTTTCTTTTTCTTGTACATAAAATTTTATTATTCAATGAAAGGAGACTTAAACAATTCTCCCTTCTTTCCCTGTAGGATTTTGTTTTCTGGACAGATTATATGCATGCCTAAAAGGAATATTAGAAAGCAGAAGCAGCTATATGGTCGTTGGTTAAAGATTTTCCTTTGAGTTTTATGCGAATCAAAGCATGACTTATTTTAGCACCTTTATGAACCCAATTTACTAAATTTTCTGCATTACCCTTTATCACAGTGAGGTATGAAGGTCAATGAAATCGTTTGATCTTTGTCATTTACTGTGGTTCTTTTGGGGCTCTCAGTACAAAATTAAGCTACTGGCTGTGAAGGTTATTTTGATGGTCTTTTGATGCCCTCTTCTATACCTTCTATATAACTTTAGCAAAGTGTATATTTCTAAACTTTTGAGAGACATTCCTGGCTATGCTTGCCTCTTGGTTGACTCAGTGTTGTAGTTTTCTCAGTGCTTGCTTCCTGGTAACCAGGAGACCCTCAGTACGGGTGGGACCCATGTAGTTGGGGATGGGTTGGGCCAGGAAGAGTGGGCTGGAGGGCCGGAGGATCTTCACATCCTTGTGCCCTTCCTTTCTCCTCACCAGACAGTGGACCTGGGCCTTCAAATGAGCTTAGGCCTTCTCCTCATTGAAGACCTATAATAATAGAGTGATTCTCCATAAAGATCTTTCTTTTAAAATTAATGTATTATACATTTTTATATGCATAATGATCACATTCATCATAGGGCATAAAGATTTCTCAAAAGCATTTTCTATTGTGTTTGACTTAAGCTTTGCCCTTTGTCTTGTGGATGAGATGATTTCCCCAACTAGGGTCTTCATGGCTTCACACAGCAATCAACAGCAGAGGGCCTGGGGAGGATCACTAGGGTACCTACAGGCAGCTCCCTAGTGTCCTGTGAGTGGCAGTGCCCCTTTATTACCCATTGCCTCCCTCGCAAGGTGGTGCCTTGCCATCTTGGCCAAGATTCAAAGAAGGCACCTAAAGAAGGCATCTGTTTTTTCCATGTCATCAGAATGTACCCACTTTGTTCCGTCTCCCTGTTGCATAGTAGACTACACTGGCTACTGACCTCAGCAGATCTGGATGCAGTTCAACTCCACGCAAACCAGCTCTGTCTGCTCCTTTGGAAGGCAGCTATGCTCACCACTATACCACCAACGCTGCCTGCTCCCTTGGAAGCACAGTGTTAGCTCTCTTACCTCTTTGCCTACTTTCCCTGCCTAGGAGGGAAACTTACGATTTTCACGTCACTAGATAGCCTTCTAAACTCTGATTTACATGAAAGCCAGGAGTTATTACTGTGCATTGAAATCATTTCTGAAATTCTGTAAAAACGATAGTGATGAAGGTGTTTACAGCTATGAGCCTCACGTGTCTGTATATATCCTTACAGTAAGTAGTCATCGATCAAAACAAATGCAACTTGGACAGCTTTCGATGCATATTTCTAAACTATCCTCTGGGAAGGTTCTGTCCATTTACCCTCCTACTGGCATTCTAAAGAGTTCTCAGACTCCTTACCATTTAAAAAAGATATTCTTTTTTAAAAATCCTAACGTTGAGGAAGAAAAAGAGAAAACCCACAATTTAATTTATATTTCTTTGTTTTATAGTGAAGCTCTTTACGAGTATGCCTTTATACATTTACTAAAGATAATTTTGTGCATAGTGGTTGTCTTACATTCCTAGTCGCTTGGCCAAAGGAGGAGAGGTTTATTTTAGAGGTTTATTTGTAGAGGTTTCAGCGCACACTCTGGTGGCTCCAAGGGACAGCAGCACGGCGGAGGAATAGTTACTCACTTCCAGATGCCCAGGAAGCAGGGAGTGAAGGAAGAAGGCAGGGAGGGAGACAAACCTGTCCCTTCCAGGCCACACCCCTGGTGACCCGCTTCTTTCAATCATACCTCACCTCCCAACAGCAAGTCAGCTCTAGCCCCCATGTCCTATCGCCTTGCAGCTCCCCTACGCCGAGTGCATGACACTCGGGGGACGTCTAATATAAGGCAGGACAGTGGTCAGCTGGGTGCATTCTGGAGGCTGACTTTCCTCTTAGCATCCTGGGATGCATTTCTTCATCTCCTCCTGCTTGTGCCAGCTCTCAAAGTGACAGTACCTGCTCCCTAGAGCCTGTATGAAGAAGACTACAGAGAGTATCACATGAAAGGTATCCCGACAGCACCACACAGTAAGCACCTGAAATATATCGGGTACTCCTGTGTTCTCTGTCTTATTCTTTTTATTGTCTTTGTAATGACAATACAAAACTTTGTAAAAAGTTTTCACCATGAAGAAAATGAGAAATATTTAAAGACCTAAATCTGTTTAACTGGATTTATACATTATGACATGTATACATGGATTGAATCATTGCAAGGTAACTGTTAATATGTACAACTTGTATGCATCATTTTAAAATAAGTTTAAGATAATTGAAAATATAAGCTAGCTTAACCCATCATCATATATTGTAATTTCTCCCCAAAATTTGGTCTTTTAAATTTGTTCAAAGTGAGGAGGTAGTTGAATGTGAAGACACTCAGGCCAGAGGAAGGTGGGGTTTGGGTTCAGGCTGGATTTTTTTTTCTTGCCACTCAGTTATCCCATCAGGAAAGTCACCTTGCCCCTCATCGAGAAAGTCTGGTATTGATTTTAGTTACCAGGTAGCATAAATGGCAGTTTAAGCAGGAAAACTTTTTATATTAAAAATCGCTGTGATGGAATAAAATGTCTGCTTAATTTATGTACATAACGATGATGGCAGATAGGAGGCCACGGCTAATATTTCCCTATTTTCCATCCATCACTAAATCCAGCTTGTCAGCATTGCATTAGTGGTGCAGTGTAAAATTAATTACCTCAACTCAAGAGATGCTTTTAATTGGAGATCAAGGTCCCTGGTAAGTTGTGTAGCCATTAAGTGCTACTGCTTTCCCTTTCTTAAAAATAATATCAGAAAGAGAGACTCTTTTGGCCATGAAATGTCATTATACAGGTAACATTCTCTACATCGGCATATACACATGCTACTAAAAGTGAGAATTTTCACCTCAACGGAAAGATGTGCACGTAGAGAACATTATTTTGCCTTAGTAAGCAAAAAAGTTAGAACCACCCTCATAAAAACTAATTTTGCTTGAGCTGCCAACTATATTCAAAAAGCTATTGAAAGTGGTTATATGTTCCTGCAGTGTGTTAGATAAATGAGAGTGTGTCATATTACTGCTAGATGGCTGTGGTTGAAATTTCCCACATAAAGGGGCTGGGGATTTAGCTCAGTGGCACAGCGCCTGCTTGGCAAGCGCGAGGACGTGAGTTCGATTCCTCATACTGGAAACCCTCTCCCCCAAAAAGAAATTTCCCACATAAAAGTTTCTTTATTAAAAAAAAGGTTTTTTAAACAATGCTTACCATTAGGGAATGATATTGGGGAGAGGGGTAAACAGTCTTCACTTCTGACTTTTTTTTTTTAACCCATTTTCCTTGTTGCCCAGGCTGGGCTTGAAATCATAGGCTCAAATGATCATCCTGCCTCAGCCTCCAGAGTAGTCACGACTTATAGGGATCTGCCACTGCCTCTGGCTTCAACTTCCAAATTTTATATGGTGCTTCCTTATTAGATTTGTCTTTATTTTGTTATTGTTTTACTGCACACATATCGTTACTTTCACAATATGTTAATAGAAAAAAATCAAGCCATGCTTTCCATAGTAATTACCTGAGGAGTCAAATACATGGGCTGCACAGGGGACTTTACACTTGGTTCCAAAGCCTTGAAAATTGTCTTTATTTGAAGGTCCCTATAATTGCAAATCTTTTCTTCTTCTTTTCCCTTGGGTGTGTGTGTCTATTTTGATTTGTGATGATTAGAAAAGTAAATCCTGAAAAAGATACTGTTTCCCAAAGTGAGCTAAAATTTTAAATTGTTGGTTGAGTTCTGGGCACCCAGGAACAAAGAGCTAGGGGCACTGAGCAGAATGCTTCTGGATTTTAAGCTTTCACCCCCTTGACTGACTCTTCACTGCAGGACTTCAACTGTTCTTCCTTTCGGTTTTTATTTTTTATCAGTACGTGTCTGCAGCGCATAGTGATTCCCTTCGTCATGCCGAGTTTGCGCATCGACACGATACATCGTGATTCTTTTTTCATCTCGTTCTCCCTTTTCCCTTCCCTCCGTCTCTTGGTCCCATTTGCAAAAGATCTATCTTCCTACCTCTATTATTTTATTTGGCTTTTTAACTTATTTATGCTTTGGGTTTCACATATAAGAGAAACCAGGCAATATTTAAGTCTGTGCGTCCGATTCATTTCACTTTACATGATGGTCTCAAGGTACTGTACATCCATTTTCCTACAAATGATTCAAATTCAAGTGATTATCCTTCCTTACGCCAGAGCAGTACTCCACTGTGTATACGTGCCATATTTTCTGCATTTACTGCTCTGCTGGTGGACATGCAGGCCACTTCCAAGGATCCGCTGTGCTGAATCGTGTGCTAGCTACCGACATGGGCATGCATGGATCACCGTAATATGTCCTCAACTCTTTCGGGAAGACGCTAGAAGGGGAATAAACTGCTAACATTTTTGTCTCCACTTGCAGCCAACATGAAGGACCGGCTTGCAGAACTCCTGGAGTTCTCCAAGAGCTGTGACCAGCAGTTCCCAGACGGGGACGATGACTTCGACTCGCCCCACGAGGACATCGTGTTCGAGACGGACCACCTCCTGGAGTCCCTGTACCGAGACATCCAGGACATCCAGGAGGACAACCAGCTGCTGGCGGCCGACGTGCGGCGGCTGGGCAAGCAGAACGCGCGCTTCCTCACGTCCATGCGGCGCCTGAGCAGCATCAAGCGCGACACCAACTCCATCGCCAAGGCCATCAAGGCGCGCGGCGAGGGCATCCACCGCAAGCTGCGCGCCCTGAAGGAGCTGAGCGAGGCGGCCGAGGCCCAGCACGGCGCGCACTCGGCGGTGGCGCGCATCTCGCACGCGCAGTACAGCGCGCTCACGCGCGCCTTCCAGCAGGCCATGCACGAGTACAACCAGGCCGAGATGAAGCAGCGCGACAACTGCAAGATCCGCATCCAGCGCCAGCTCGAGATCATGGGCAAGGACGTCTCGGGCGAGCAGATCGAGGACATGTTCGAGCAGGGCAAGTGGGACGTGTTCTCCGAGAACCTGCTGGCCGACGTCAAGGGCGCGCGCGCGGCGCTCAGCGAGATCGAGAGCCGGCACCGCGAGCTGCTGCGCCTGGAGAGCCGCATCCGCGACGTGCACGAGCTCTTCCTGCAGATGGCGGTGCTGGTGGAGCAGCAGGCCGACGCGCTGAACGTCATCGAGTTCAACGTGCAGCGCACGCGGGACTACACCGGCGAGGCCAAGGCGCAGGTGCGCAGGGCGGTGCAGTACAAGAGGAGGAACCCGTGCCGGACCATCTGCTGCTTCTGCTGCCCGTGCGTCAACTAACCGGGCCTCGTCGGTGCGCCCACTTGGCCGAAGAGCTCCTTGCTCTGCTCCATCTAGAGTGAACCTGACCTTGGGACTGGACTCTTATCGTCTCTGATTCGTCATCTGACGTGGTCGATGTGATTCCTGCCTAGAGAGAAACTTTTTTTTTTTTTTTTGCTCATCGCCCCTACTTAGTAAAATCGCCTCGGACACAATGTTTTTATCTTTTTGACCTTTCATGTCTTCCACTAGAATATACTTGGGGATTATTTTTCTAAATATTTTCAAGCACGTAATATTGAGGAAGCACTCGAGGGAACGGTCACATTTTATGTATTTTTCACATCAGTTATTTAAAATTTGTCTTTTTACTCGCTTGCACGTGCACATACATATGTAATTGTAAATACTAATAGTCACTAACGTGTGCACATAATGACCAGTTGACTTCACTTTACTTTTGTAAACGTGCTACATAAATGTCAAGAAAAATACTTTGCCTGGCTTTTGGGTTGCCTATTTTGTATTTTATCTTGCTCCAGTCTGCATGTCCATCGGCCAATTTGGCTCAAAACTTTAACAGTCCTGCGTTGGCTATGTTAGGAAGGACGGGTGTAGAAGGCTGAAAATATATATAAAACTAGAGATAGTAAAATTATGTTCTTGGAAACAGGGTCGTACCCCGACCCCCGTGGACCATTCCTTTCACACATTAACATGGAGTAATTTGAAATGAAGTAATCCTAGTTTTCAAGCTTAATAACAATAACATTATAAATATCCCTCTTACACATTTGTATCTTGCCATTTAAATTGTGTTTCGTTTACTTTTTCAACTGTTGTTAAAGCTTTTTCTGCCTAGGTACTTTGAGGCTGCAACATCTGGATAGAATTCTGAGCAAAGCGGAAAATATGATAAACTCGAATTCATATGAGGATGTCTTGCTTTCTCTCCTGAGCTATGATAGCTTAGCAGAATCATCACATTTTAGAGCTCTGGTTTGCTTTGCAAACTTTGTGATGGCCTACATCACGGTTGTCACGCCTCCTGTCTTTCCTCTGTGCCAACTCTGAAGTCTTTCTACCCCACACTTAATACATGAGCAATTTTTAGTCATGTTTCTCAGGACCTCCAGAAGATGGAGTTTTAAGAAGAGGAGAAAGAGCAGTTTGTGAACTCCAGTCTTTGAGGCTCATTGCTGGACTTACTTATGACCAGGCAAATCTAGCCCCTACTTAATCTTAATTTCACAGTCCAACATGAAAATTGTACGAACTATGTCCCACCACCCTGTTATCAGATTTCTCCTGATTTCTTTCTCAGCTGACCCAAGGAACATATTTCCTCTTTGACTTAATTCCCTTTCCATAGGGTGGGGATAAAGTCTTCACACACCTTTCATTGAAATAAGAGATATCGTAAATGGACCCTGCACTTGTTTAAACCCTAAAATAGTTTCCTTGCTTCAAACCATCATAAGAGTAAATGAGCTTCCAGGTTCTATTTAATTCCTCACTTTACCTTGGAGAATTGAAGACTGCACTTTACTAAGAGAATGAGCGGACTGTTGCCTGTGGAAAAGCAAAACCTTTCTTCCTGCTCTCTGGTAACCATCTGAGCTGGTGTAGCAGTTAAGAATAGAGACTCCTTGGGAGGGGGATATAGCACAGCAGCACAAGTGCCTGCCTGGCAAGTGCAAGGTCCTGAGTTCGAGTCCTAGTACCAAAAAAAGAAAAAAAAAGAACATCTGAAGAATACAGATTCCAAGGCACAAATTCTGCTCTGCCGCCTACCAGCTGTGTGAGTTGGACACATTACTTAAGCCTCAGTTTCCTCATCTGTACAATGGTGGTGATCGGATCTACCTTACAGAGTTGTTAACAGAAATAAATGACTCTAAATGCAAAAGCATTGAAAATGACACCTTGCACATGCTAAATACTGTGTTCACCTTTGCTGTTTCAGAACTTGTTCTTTGGCTGAGAGAACTAATAGGTATTAAGTTTGGAGGGAAATAATTTATTTTCACTTAACAGCCTTTAATAAAATAGAAAAAGAAAACAAGATTTTATCTTCTCTGATATTAGGGCTTTTTTCTCCTACAGTGATAAAACTTTTCACAACAGTATTTCAGTTCCTTTGTGTATCCAAACATGCTTTGAAGAAGTATCTTCTATCACAAACAGGTGAGCAAAAGGGAGCTGTTCTGTTCTGCTTAATTTTGGCAAGTGCGGTCTCCTGATTCTTCCCAAGACGTCAGTCAGACAGTGCTAGATGGGGTCCTGGGTAGTTCCAGAGCCGGGATCCTCAACCCTGGGCAGTTAGGGAGCCGGGATCCCAGACCCATGGAGAAGACGTCGCCTGGCCCACATCCTGCCCTGTGCCCAAGCCCACCTGGCTCTGACCGCCATGCCAGGCAGTTCTTAAAATGCCAGCCTTTCCCTGGCTCCCTGGGAGATGCTGAGGGTTGCTGGCTTTCCCTAACCCTGTGACACTCACCTGGAAAACTCTGGAAGATGACCTTGGGCAAGAGGACCTTGTGGCAGCAAATCTCATACACTAAAATCACTTATTATGTGAAACCAAAAAGCCAATTACAAAGACCAACAGACCCTTAGCAGCAGAAGGTGGAAATCTTCTAAAGCTACTTTAACCCACACAGAGACTGCTTACAACTAGCCAGATGCTCAACCTGACAGCATGGTGAAGTCACATTACAGGTTTGTGACATCTCCAGAAGTGTCATAGATAGGAAAGGTGTTCACCTAAGATGTTAGTGGCCAATTCTATCTTAGAATGTTTTAAAGGCTGATCATTGCACATATTTGAATTGTGATATCATAGAAGTAATTTTGTAGCCTTTGAAGGTAATAACTTGGAAAAAGAATAGTATTCTTTTCATACTAGTACATTTATATTTATCTTTAAAATGGTGCCTATATTTTATAGTTAAATATCATGTGAAAATATGTTTTAAACTACCATATACAGTTAATATTTTGAAAGGAATCTACTGAAGATTATGTATAGCTTAATAAAATAAGGTACCATAAAATAATAAAATATTAATAACCCTTATTAAAATGGGGCTGTAGGGATAAGTCTTCTCATTCTATTTTCTCCCACCAGCCATATTTTCTGTAAAATGTACAAAGTGTCTCCAACTGCAGTGTGCAATTCATTCATTTGCAATCAAGATGATAGTTTGAAATATCCAGTTGTTGCCAGAGTAACAGTTGACTTGCTTCTGATAGCAGAACTGAAAATCATTGTGAGTGATACAACAGAGCTATCACAGATAGAAAATGAATAGACTGTAACTTCATCATATCACAGGTGCTAAGTGCCTTTATCACCAACACACGTTAGGAAGAATGGACGTGTGCTTACACACTAGAAACTTCTGTTGCAAAGATTTTATGTTTACTGGTGAGAAAAAGGTTTTCTGAGCTGGCTTTTTGAATGAGCCCACGGAGGATGCTGTAAAACCAACAACATCCTACACTGTGAAAAGTGAGAAACAAGTTTCCCAGGATTATCATTTTTTTTTTCTTTTTGGTTCTTAATGTTTATTTTTTTCTTCAATCAGACTTTATTGGTACATTTATATATACATAATGATCACATTCGTCATAGAGAATTTGCACCTGTACATGGTATAACTTGATTCTTTTTTTCCCCATTCTCCTACCCCCTTCAATCCTCCCTCCCCTCCCCGTCTACAATAATGTTTACTTAAAATGTGTTTTCCATCCTATTTTAATTTTAAGCCATCTTTCCAAGCCACTTCTGGGGCATCTTCTGTTTTTCCTATACCTCAACATTTTCATGGTCCTACAGCCAGCTCCTGAGAGGCCCATAACTCTGCATCCTAGCGTCTACAATATCTGACACGGGCAAAAGCAACAGGGCATAGCCAGCTGGGGTGTGGCTGAAGGCTGAGCACTTGCCTAGTGTGTGGAAGGCGTGGGCTTAATCTTTAGCCCCTCAAAAATAAAAAATAGCAGAACATGCAAAGTTATATATAAAGGGGGTGGTTAACAATACAGGGACTGTTTAAATAAATTACAGTAAAACACAGAGTGTCACTAATCCTCCTTGACATACCCTTCCTCACTGGGAACATGTTCATCCCACCATTGCTGACATTTTCCGGAGCAGGTCTGGAAGTCCTTTTCTGTGAGATCTGTAAGAGGTGTGATTTTAGAAATCACAGGGAACCCTGCAGTGAGTGCCACCCAGTGGAATGTCAGGCTCGTAAAAGCATTACAGTGTGTCCTCATCCACCTTGGTCACTGGGTCTGGCCCCATGCAACTTCTAGGTGTTCCCCAAAGTTAGAATAACATGGGGTGTTTCCCTTCAGGAGAGCAGGGCTGCCTGGAAGCTGTAGCTCACTGCCTGTGCCCCGGTCATGACAGAGGATGGTACTCTGTATCCCTACCTGAGGAAAAGATCCAAATTCAAATTTTAAAGTATAATTTCTATGGAATGCAGATCAGTGTTACAGCACTGAGAAATCAAAAACTGAACCATGGTAAGTCAGAATCATCTGTATTCATTCAACAAGAGCCCCTCATCCCAATGGCCTTTGGCAACCACTAGTCTCCTTTCTCTCTATGGGAGTTCGACTATTCTTTTCGGAAGTGAAAATTGTATAGTGCTTGTCCTTTTGTGTCTGGCTTGTTTCACTCAGCACAGTATCCTCAGGATTTATCCATGCTGTAGCATATGTGTCTGAGCACTCCATTTTATACATATTCAGGATTTTTATACATATACAGGATTTATCCATGCTGTAGCATATGTGTCTGAGCACTCCATTTTATACATATTCACCATGTGTTTTTTGCCCACTCATCCATCCTTGGCCCCTGTGGCTGTTGGGAGTAAGGCCATCACTGGCTTAGAGCTCTGGGGTGGCTGCCCTTGTTGGGATAAAACCCCGACTTCCTTAAGAGGTTGTTAAAGGGCCTACAGGGGCTGGGGATGTAGCTCAGTGGCATAAGCGCTTGCCTGGCAAGTCTGAGGTCGTGAGTTTGATTCCTGGTACCAAAACAAAAACAAAAACAAAGGGCCTACAAGATTCAGGCCCTGTGTGCTTTCATCCTCGTCCTGCCCTTTCCATTGCAGACTCCTCTTGTTCAGCTGCTGGCTTTCCAGAAGGTTGTTTCCCTCCTGGGCCACTTTTCTCACTGGGCCCCTGTGCTCATAGAGTTCTGCTGAGAAGTAGACTCCAGGAAGGGGTTATGAAGGGAAATTCCCCGTGAGAGAAGAAGAGGACCAGGCTGGGTTGAAAGGACTCTTCCACTCCAAGGCAAACCTGTGCTAGCAAAAGCGAGAGAGGAGGAAGGTACAGCAGAAGCGGCCCGAATGGCCATTGGGAAGTCTGTGAACCGGAAGTGACCATCACAGGCAGCCATCTCCTAGGAGCAGGCCTGCCTTAGCCTCATGGCTGTGCTCAGCCCCTGGCTGGGAGATGGTGGAAATGGGAGGATTTCAGAGCACTGGACTCCACAAGGTGGCTGCCTGTGCCTGGCATTGGCCCTCTTCATCGTCACGAAGTTTTGGCTCAGATTCAGAGATTTCTGTCCGTAGTCGGTGGGCTCCATTGCTTCTAGGCCTGTGGTGTGGTAGAAGCATCATGGCGGAAGGGCGTTTTGGAGGAAAGCTGCTCACTGCGTGGCAACCAAGAAGCAGGAAGGGAAAGGGTCAGAGAGACAGAAAGGGGCCAAGGACAAGAATACACCTTCAAGGTCACGGCCCCAGCAACCTACTGCCTCCAGCAACGCCCTGCTTCCTGACAGCATATTCAGCTATGAACTCTTCAGTGGCTGCACCCTCAGTTCACGAGTCCTTGGGGAACACTGGATACTGAAACCATAAGAACGACCAATACCATCTTGTTTGTTTTTGGGTCTTAGTCATTTGCATAGCATCTTCTACACAATATGCTTTTTGATATTTGTGTTCTCAGTGAAGAAATAGACACTTGGAATTTGTCTTCCGTTATGAGAGGTATTTTGTATGCCTCTGTGAAGGTGTTTTTATAACATAAAGCACAATGTCGAGTCTTCCCTGCCAGGGAGGACCTGTGCTACAACACAGGGCCCAGCATGGGATCGAGCGTCCTGGGTGGTGCCCAAGGGTGGGACTTGGTGAGGGGAGAGACAGGGGATTAGAGGCCCAGCTCCTTGGAGAGAGCCAGACTTAGTCCATTTTCTGTTGCCATACAGAATACCTGAGAGTGGGTCATTTATAAAGGAAACTGATTTATTTAGCTCACAGTTGTGAAAGGTGGAGTCCAAGATCAGTACTGTCATCTGAGTGGCTTCTGATGAGGGTCTTGTGCTATTCCATGCATGGGAGAAAAATGGAAGGGAAGTGAGCATGTGTCAAGAGAAAGAGGGCATGTGCTTTATAACAACCCATTCTTCGTATCTAATCCAGCCTCAAGAAAGAACTAAACCCTACAAGAAAGGAATGTATCCATGATGGCACTGCCCATGACCTACACTCTTCCCGCTAGGCTCCACCTCCTAGCACTGCCTCTTGACTTCCAGGCCTCAGCACAGCTTCTGGAGGGAACAGACACAGCAAACTGGAGCAGCAAGGCCAGAAGGACAGTGGGCTGCGAAGGCTTAGCATGAGGAGAGAAAAAGTCTGAGGCCACAGCATTGAGGCCAGCAGCCCTAGGGGCAAGGAGAAGCTGGGAGTAGATGCTGGGAGGCAGAGGCTAGAAGAACTATCTCAGGAAAGGGACAGACTCAGCTTGGATGAAAGCTGGAAAAATTAGTTTTCTCTGGAAGCAATTCTTCCCATTCTATCCCTCCAACTACAAAATAAGACCTATATTTTTTTTAAGATTTGAGGTGCTAAGGACATAGCTCACTGATAGAGTGCATACTTCGTAGGTGCAAGGTCCTGGGGACAATCCCCAGTACCCAAAAAAGAATAAAGAATATTTGGGGGAAATGTGTCAGCTCTAGTTTGAGAAGGACACAGACCTCTCTGGCTGGCATCTAGTAGGCAGTATGTGCAAAGAACATAGCTACTGATTCCTCCTCGTAAGTGGCTGAATTCACAAGGACAGCTTTGGACTTAATACTACAATGTCCTCAAGCATAAAATGGCATGTATGACAGTGGCCTGAAATGCCACAGCCCATTCCTAAGAATATCAGCCCACCCCCACCACCTTCCCCCAGACAGACCCCTTAGAAATACATAATGCTAGCGGGATGTGGTGGTGCACATCTGTAATCCCAGTACTCTGGCAGGCTGAGACAGGAGGCTCAGTTGGGCCAGGTGGGGCAATTTAGTGATTTAGCAAGACTGTGTCTCAAAATTAAAAAAAATAAAAGTAAAAAAAGGGCTGGAGATATAGCCCTTAGAGTGAAGGCCTTGGGTTCAATCCTGAATACTTCAAGAATCAAAAAAGATGGGGAGGAGGGAAGAGGAGGAGGAAGAGGAGGAGGAGGAGACCCACAACGCTTATTCAGCGCGAAGATGCCTAACTGCCTGTGTGTGGTGTGGAAAAGTAGCTGCGAGGCATCCTCTCCCTGCGGTAGTTAAAGACCTGGGACAGAAAAGAGGATGGGACCTGGGCTGCTGGGAGCTGCAGGGCCCCCACATTCCTCCCATGACCCCCAGGTGCCTGCTGGGGCCAAGATGCCTCTCCACAGCCCAAGTGCAACTCCTTCAAAACCTGGGTTAGCCCGAAGAAAGCAGAAGCTCTCCAGGGATAGAGAGCAAGTCTGAGGAATGTCACCCCGACACACAAAGAAATTATTTAACCTGCACCTAACAAGGACAGGACTTTCGCTTGCCCCCAGGAATGCCTGACTAGCTCATTCTTTTGCCTTGCTCTTTAGCTTGCCCTGAACTAATGCACCGGTGAAGGTGGCATAGATGAGGTCATGTGGTCTCTCTTTCCAGACTCCTCCACACTCTGTAATCTGGTTTATGGAAGAAACCTGTCAAACAAGAAAGGCTGCCTGGTGGTGAAATGTTCCAACGTGCATCTAAGAAGAGAGAGAAAACAGTCTTCCCCTGTTGCTACCCACAGGGAGGTAGCAGCAACACTCTCTGCATTGCCTTTATCAACAGAGAGTCCTCATTTAATGACCAAATACTTGTCCTGCAAGCAGGTCACTATATGAGAAATTGCATATAGTTGTGCAGTACAACATTCAGAATGAAAAAATAGTCAAAGGAACCTCCAACTTGCTGTCTTTGTTTTTATGTGCCTAACTCTGACATGAAGTAGTGTAATGTATAACAGAACACAAAACTACTGTACTATACCATACAGTACAATCAGCACAAATTACAGTACTGTGTAAACCAGGTATACTGTACAAAAAAGATACTGAGGCTCTATAAACAAAATGTACACAACTGTAAAAACTAAAAACAGGTCAGAAGTCTGAGTGGCAGGTCTGAACAGCATGCCTCAGTCCTAAGTTCGAACAGTCATTAAACAGGTAAGTTGTTAAAGGAGGAACATCTGTATTTGAAGCAACTACAAGAAGTTATTATTTTCAAAAGAAATCAGGGCCTTAGTAGAAAAAGAAGACCTCCCTTCTCCCCTACATGGGTTTTAGTGCTAAGGTTACAAATGGACTAACTACAGGCGTGCCTGTGATTATGCCCTCAGAGGCTGAAGCAGGAGGATTGCAAGTTCAAGCCTAGTCCAGGCAATTTAGCAATTTAGTGAGACCTTGTCTCAAAATTGAATAAATAAATAAATAAATGAAAAGGCTTGGGGAAGTGGCTCAATTCAAGGCCCCAGCTTACATCCCAGTACTGTAAAAAAAAAAAAAAAAAAAAAAAAAAAGCCTAGCAAGTCTCAAGTCTGAGATTACACACTTGTAATCTCAGCAGGAGGATTGCGAATTCAAGGCTACCCCAGGCAATTCAGCAACATCCTGTCTTAAAGTATGCTAGGTTACACCTGCACTCCCACTGTTTTGGAGGCTGAGGAAGGTAAGTTTGATGTCAGCCTGGGCAATTCAGCAAGACTCTGTCTCAAAATAAAAATAAATAAAATATATAAAAAGTGGGGGATGTGGGGCTGGGGATGCAGCTCACTGATCCCTGGGTTCAAGCCCCAGGACTGCGGGTTGCAGGGAGGTCTGGGAGAAAATCTTGAAGAAGGGAAACCTTTCTCTTCCAGACAGGAGACAACAAGACTTAAAATACATTTTGGGGGGAGCGGAATAGTCCAGGGGTGTGGTTGAATTTTAATTTTACAATAAAAGCGGGAAAGGAAGCCTTTATATCATTTGCATATTAATTTATTTTCATTGTACTCAGTTTTGTAAAAGATATTTAAATGCCTTCCCATTTTCCCAGTCTGATAAAATACAAACACCATTCCTCTTTGTATTCTCATTGCATTACCCTTTAATAGGACTGAGAAAATGGTGATATTAATTCCGCTGATTCTTTGCTTCGTCCGTTTTTTGAGACAGGGCCTTGCTACATAGTCTGCGCTGGCCTGTAGCCTAGTCTGACCTCGAGTTTGTGGTGATCTTCCTTCCTCAGCCTCCCCAGTGCTGGGATTACAGACACGTGCCACCACACCCGGCAGAAGAAATGTTTGAAAACATTTGTTTTCCATTTTCAGAACTGTCACAGGGGGGCGGGGCCACGGCGGGCGCGAGGGGCCCGGCGAGCACCGTTAGCAGGGCCTGGCGCCCGTGCCCGCCAGGGGCCTCTGCCAGCGGCGTCCTGCCCCTGTCCCTGCCCCTGCCCCTGTCCCTATCCCCTGTCGACGTCGGGGCCTCGCTGGTGCTCGAGCAGCTGAGAGAGCCGCGGAGTGAGGACTCGAGGAGGTCTCCTGGGAGGTGACATTGTGAAGCGGAGGAGCAGAGCCGCCCAGCGCGGGACCTGCTCGCCCGATGGGGAGCGGCCGGTCGCAGCTGTCCCTGCTGCCCGGCCTCCCCGCCTCCCGGTCCTACCACGTTGCTCTGCTGGGGCTGGACTGCGCCGGGAAGACCACCGTCCTGTACAGGCTGCGGCTGGATGAGTTTGTCGAGGCCGCGCCCACCAAAGGCTTTAACACGGAGAAGGTCACGGTGACCTTGGGAGAGTCTAAAGCGGTCACCTTCCACTTCTGGGACGTGGGCGGCCGGGAGAAGCTGCGGCCCCTGTGGAAGGCCTACACCAGGTGCACCGACGGCATCGTGTTCGTCGTGGACTCGGTGGACGCCGAGCGGATGGAAGAAGCCAAGACCGAGCTGCATAAAATAACAAGGATCTCGGAAAACCAGGGCGTCCCTGTGCTCATCGCGGCCAACAAGCGGGACCTGAAGAACTCGCTGTCCCTGGGGGAGATTGAGAAGCGGCTGGCCGTCGGGGAGCTGAGCGCGGCCACGCCTTGGCGCCTGCAGCCCACCTGCGCCGTGGCCGGAGAGGGGCTCAAGGAGGGACTGGAGAAACTGCACGACATGATAGCAGCCCGGAGAAGGCCGCCGCGGCGACCGAAAAGGAGACGGTGAGCCCCGCAGCCTCTGCGTCTGGGAGGAGCGGTTTTCTCCCGCAGAGCAGGGTCCAGGATCTCCAGCCCGCTTTGCTGTTCGCCCTCTCGGATGCTGTTAGGAAAGCTTTGTTTAGTGAAAGGCTCAGCCCAGTTCTGTCGACTGGTGGAAGACGAGGGAGGGGTCCCTACTCCCCACCCCACACGGCTTTTGGGGCTGCCGTCCTGGGAAGGCAAGCGAGGATGGCGAACTGACCAGACAACGGCTGTGGAAACTGGGCCCAAAGTTAGTGAAATAAAATTTTGAAGAGTTCCAGCCTAGTGTCTTGTGTTTATTATATATTTTTTGTTCGGGGTGGGAGGGGTCTTTGCAAAGAAAGTAGCTACAAGGCTTCTTCTGTTAGGATAAAATGCTGATGAATGGAAATGTTAAGGTAAATTCTCTCTCTCCTTGGCTCTGTGTCTGTATGTCTCTGTCTTTCTCTCTCTCAGACACACACACACACACATACACACACACACACACACACACACACACACACACACACACACACACACGGCATGAGATCTATCTGTATTAGTCATGCTGGAACAAGGAGGAAGTGTTTGCTTTTTAAAGTTTTGGCCAAATGGTTTTTAACATTTTCTGGACTCAAATTATTTGATGGTATCTCTTAATTCTAGACAATGTTAAATTCAGTTGGTCTACTGTTAATAAGCTATTTGGGGTATATTGAATACATGGATGAATTTGGACAAAGCGTGTTTGGGCATGTTGTTTACTCTTTAGAAATAGGTATGTATCTCGTTACACAGTTTTAAAACAACTTTGTTGGGATCAGGGGCTATTATAAAAATAGTTTGATAAGGCTGGGTATGGTGGCTCACACCTGTAATCCCAATACTTGGGAGGCTGAGGCAGGAGGATTGCCATCAGTTTAAGGCCAGCCTGGGCTACATAGTGAGTTCAAGGCCAGCCTGAACTATGTAGTGAGACCCTATCTCAAAACAAAATAAAAATAAAAATATTTTGTTGTCAGAAGCACTTGCACACGAAGAATCTAAAAGAAGTTACTTGACCCTTCTGTAATAAGCATGGGTAATAGACCAATTTTAAATGCAGGATACATATATGGATTTATGAAGAAAGTAATTGGTGAATTCAGTCAAGAGAACAGAATTATTGGGCTGGGGATATCAGTGGCATAAGTGCTTGCCTGGCAAGCACAAGGTCCTGAGTTGGATTCCCGGTACCAAAAAAAAAAAAGAGAGAGAATAGAATTACAATAGATACGTGGTCTTTAAAATATTCTACTTAGAAGATATTTGTTAATGCTTGCTAGCTGAAAATAGATGTGGTTTTCATATATTTATATAGTGTTTTGGGAGGAGGAAAACTATAAACATATGACGTGCTGTGGAAAGAAAATGTCAGATGCCTACGTGCATTCTGAGCTTTAATTGTTGTTTGTTTGTTTGTTTACCAACTGAACAGTGGTACCAGGGCTGTCTAGTCCCAATTATGGGAAGAATTATGATTATAGAAAATGAGGGAGAAAGTAGCAAAGCTACTCAATTCTGTTTCTACTGTAATAACATAAAATTGTAAAAAAGAAAAAAAAGCCTCCAACAGAGTCTTAGAAACAAAACTTCTGTAGTTTATAATTCAAATGAAAACTCAGGAATTAAAGGCATACCAAGGAGCAGGGAGCAGCTGCATTCTTCTTTACACTTTACTGCAATAAACAAACGAAAGGAAACATTCATGTATTCAACTTTACATCAGCAGCACCTCTGATGTACGGGAGAAGGAGGCTGTACTGTGGCTTGCACAGCTGTCAAGAGGCTTGGTCAGCACACTGGGCGCGTCCCTAGCTATATGACCTTCTGCACAGTGGTGCACCGTCAGACTGGCTAAGGCAGCTGAGAAAAGCCAGGAGGGGTATCTTTTGCTTCCCAGTGCTGGGTAGCATAAAAACACAGAGCTGCGTCATATATGTATCAGGGTATTGGGTCAGCGAGTCTGCTCACCCGCGGGCATGTGGCATGGTCCAGAATTTCTCCTTAACTCCTTTCTCTCTTTTTAGACGATCTCATCCATCCCACGGCTTTGCAGCTTCACAGCGGTAATTTCCAAACCTTAGTGGAGAAAAGACTGACAGCTCTTATAGTCTGGCTGACAAGGAGCCAGGATACAGTCCCGACTTCACCCCACATACTGTCTGCGTGAGTAGGAAAAGTTCCTGAGCAGCTGGCACCAAGGGAAGCTCATTTTCCTCTGCCTATAAGACTGCTCCCATCTGAAAAAGACTGGTTTTGAGTAGTGGGGGTTAACTCACGCGGCATCCAGCTGGGCCCTCTGCCACATCTTGATGAGCGGCCACATGGACATGGTACTGGGTCAGCTGCCTGAGGTTCCAGCTTGTACTGTGTGACACCTGTGTCATGTCCCTAAGCCATTCACCAGTACCCTTTATCAAAAAAGCTAGGCTAAAGCCTAGGTTGCCTGAGCTCCAGACTGTTATATCCCACTGTCTGCTTGTCCTCTTTTCTTGAATGAAATTGCTAGGGGCTGCTCAGACTCAGAATTCTGTTCTTCCTCCTTCAGTTAATGGGATTGTAGCAGGATTCTCACAGAAGGGCGGGACACCAAGGATTTTTCCAGGAAGTAGCATTTATTTGTGCCAGCACGGGGCTCAGCGAGTTAACACCCAAAAAGCTGAGCCCCGAACCTGGTAGGGTTTTACCTGTTATACAATGTTTGTGTCTTTGTCTCCCATAAATAGTAACACACTCACATACCACAGCCTGACTGGTTACAGTCTATGTTACAGCGCAGCACTAGAACTACACGTGTATCTAGGAACATGGCTGTGTGCACATCGTCTTTTCCAATTCTGAGAAGGCTCCACATCCACCTCGTTCCTTCAGGAGAGGCCCTTTCTCCAGGAAGGGTCCTGACACAAAGTCAGCATCTTGCCCGTTATCTAAAAGATCAGAATCACCTTCAGTTCCACCTTCTCTGTCCACAACGAAATGAAATTAAATAATACCCCAAAATTAATATCAGTCATTGGGTGTTTAATGTAATCTGAAATGAACACCAGTCATGTTAGCTGTAAAGGCAACAATTTCCTGTGTGGATTTGCCTAAATGACACCACAAGAAAGTAGACAATACATCAGGGAATTGTACTTTGATTTACACTTAAATTTAGATAATCCCTCATCTTAATGATTGTTCATTCACTAAATGTTTACCATGTACACAGCTAACATTAATTAATTTTGGTCCTAAGTTGCACACATATTTTATATACATCTGTAAGTTTGCCTGGACCAGCTTCTCTCTGGCCTGTGGTCCCAGAGTGGCTTTCAGTGGTTCTCTTTTTCATTTTCAGAAGTGTCCATGTTTGGGTGATGAAATTAGATGATAGTTACAGTTTATATCTAGTTATCCTCCAAGAGCATCATGTACTCAAAGGTAAGGTTTTGGGAAGAGGACTGGACCGTGAGAATGCTACAGCTGACTTCCTGTTAGGAGGTGGAGTCTGGTAGGAAGAGGTGGGTGTGTCCCATCTTGGGTCCATTCCCGTCCCTGCTTATGCCCCGGAAGGGTTTATCCTCCTCCAGGCTCCTCCCCTTCCTCGTTGCATCCTGGTTGCCATGCCATAAGTGGCCTTCCTCTGTCCAGGCCCTTGAGCCATACCGCTTCTGTGTTTAAGCCTGTTCAACATAGACTGAAACTTGGGAACTGTGAACCAAAATAAACCTCTCCTCCCTTCAACTGTGGATGTTGGGTAGTTTGTAAGTTCATCCTGCCCATGATTAGCCAGTGTAGTCTGTGCTCTACCCGAGTGGCTGTAGGAAGACCCCACTTTCTTCCAGATGCCCCCTCCTCGCTGAGGAACCCTTGGGCACTGGGGATGTGGGTTTGCTTCCTTGCCACTGCCCAAGGCCAGCTTTTCTTACTAGAGAAAAGCACAAAGCAAAATCAGTATTCTATTTAACTCAACACAGAATTCTTTATTTTGTTCAAAACAGCACAGTAAAAACATCTCCAACAATACATAAACCTATATATAAAATATAGAATATCTCTAACATTTTTACTTTATATGGTAGCACAATGGTATACGCAAGAGAAAGTACTGTTGATGGACCAAAGAGAAAAGTGATTTGGGCAGTGATCTAATTACTAGACATTAACCTCCAAAGACCAGGTAAATGTCAATTTTAGAAAAGCAGTCTTAGAAGAGTTTCTATGCAGCTGAGATTTATGTATTTTATTCTGCATTCCTGTCATTTCATCCACACCCTGACTTCTCAGTCACGGTTCTTTGCCTTTGGAGTGGTACTAAAAGGTATGGGGAATGCCTACCCAATACTAAATTTTCATCCAAAAAAATCATAATAGAAATGACAAAGCTTAAAAAAAGGGTGCTGGATTTCTGAAGTTCTTAGTAATTTTTAAGAAAGCTTACCGTGAACACTTCCAAAAACAACAGGTTCTTGCTGGGCTGGCAGAAGAGGACCAAGAGGAGGCAGAGCGATCAAAGCCCAGCACTCATGCTGAACCTGCTAGAGTGATGCCCCAAAGTCAGAGCTGTCTTCTGTAAGTGTTGAGTAGTTCTGTGGTCTGGCTTCACTTTTTGCAAAATGCCTGTGCTTGGTCTTGTACATTTAAATTTAATTTAGTTTTTTAAGCAAGAAAGGGTTTGGGAATCTTCCTTTGGACTACATAAGCACAGTAACTGATTTTTTTTTAACTGAGAAATTTCTTCTGTAAGGACACAATAACATGATGTCAAAACAGAAATCATGGGACCCAGGAGAACCAATTGACTTCAAACATGTACATGTTCTTTTCCCTTTCATTATGGAAGGTAGGCTAACCACAGATCAGTAGGTAAAAAAGAAATCAGATGATCCTTGACTTGATTATCCTAAGATAAAAGGGTATGTGACAATCAGTATTATTAAGGAAGAAAGAAAAATGAAGAGTAGAGGCACTTAAGGAAAGGAAGAAATTTTAAAAAACAGAAATACTGAAGTTAAGATAGGAGGTTAAAGTTTGCTAAAGTAGGAATGTAATGAGAAGTGAACTACTGCAAGAGAAACTAATTCAACTCAAGATCGAGGAAATAAACAAATACAAAACGGGGTTGGGAGTGTAACTCAGAGCCAGCACGCTTGTGCCCAGCAGGGGCGGAGGGCTGAGGATTTGATCGCCAGCGCTGCAGGGAAAACAAAAACCCCCACAAAATTTAAAATAGAATGTTAAAAATGAACCCAGATTAGGAACAAAAAATTTTAAACTGGACTAGGAATATAGATCATTGAAAAAGAATGTAGAGGTAATATTGTTAAAGGAAATACCAATAAAAGCAAAGTAAGGAAAGATTGGGATGGAACACTTATAAGGAACCAAAATTGACGGCTGTGGATGTACAGTAGCTCGGGGCAGTGCACTGCCTAGCATAGGAAAGGCCCCGGGTTCGATTCTCACGAAACACAGCGAGATGGGAGGAGAAGCAAGAGGGAGGAAAAAAGATAATTAAAATTGATATGGAGAAAATTTTCAAAATCAAGACCACGCAGGTAAAATATCTCAGTAATGCTGAGACATTGCTGACCGGAAGCAAAGGATGAGGGATAAAAAGCCCTGCTGACACCAAGCTACGAGTCCTTGGTAAAATTCCCACGTCGACTGTTCCATATACTTGCCCACTGCTTACGGACCAGGACACAGTATTGGGCGAACCTGCTTTTGTGTATACATCACGGAGTGCGTGCACACAAGCCTCAAAGGTGCAGGCAGGTCTGCCCCTCCATGTGGCCTTTTGATGCAATCAAGAGTTATAGCATACACCACATGGATGAAGCTGCTGGTGGCAAACGACAGACTTGTGCAGTAAAATTTCTTTCTTATAAACGGAAGGAAAATACTCTATAACCATCAAAAGTATACCAAATACATAAACCAGTAACACCATCATTCAGCAATCAAGTGTGATGCACTGCACAGAAATCATATCAGCTGTACTTTTATAGGACTGCCAGGCTGGTAGGTTGGTTTACACGAGCAAACTCATGCAGAAGCTAGGATGACTATGACATCACTAGGCCACAGGAATTTTTCAGGACCACTGCGGTATATCCTGCCACCACTGACTGAAATGTCACTGAGCAGAGCGTAACCACAGTTAGGTCCTGGGTGGCTGAGGGACAGGAGGCAAAGAGCAATACAAAGCCACTGTCTCCCCTGTCCCTTGTCCTGTGTCCCTGGCGTCTCTGAGGCATCTATCAGAGGAGACCCAGAGCTGTGTGAAAGAGCTTTGCCACAAATAAGGCTGGTTGACCACACAGGCTCAGCCACCAGCTCTGTTCTCTGGAATCCAGAAGAAGAGCATTGTTAGGTATTGAAATGTACACAGGAAGCACTGGGTAGTTCCCCACGTAACTCAACAGATGGCGCTGGAAAAGTAGAACCAAATCTGAAATAAAGAGCTTTTAATGCATCTTCTAGTATTATAGATGTAGGCTGCCACTGTATCATACCTCTGAATGGAAAGTAAGTTTACCCGCTAGTAGCTAGTAGCCACCAGGTTTTATCTGATGTTTTTAATGATGCGACTCTAGAGTATTTCTTGTTCAGATAATGGTTAAGAAGCTAATTTAAAAATGGTGCTGGGTACTACAACAGTAGCAATCTTTATTTTTTCTTTATTTCATTTTCATTTTCTTTCTTTCCCAATAATTTTGTTCAGATGATTTCAGAACCTGGAAAATTTACATACACATATAATATTTTTAAATTACATATATATATATATATATATATATATATATAAAATTTGGGGAAACTTTACCTGGGCTGTCAACTTTGGAAAAAGTATTCCAGTTTACCACATAGAGCTGGTATAATATAGAAAATAACAACCATTATTTATAGGAAACCAGTCTGTGAGTTTGTCTCTGATCAGAGGGTGAACAAGGATGAAAAACACAAAGACATAGAATTAGTTTAGCAAGAGGGACCAGGGGTCTCTTGTCTCCCTTAGACAGAGGGACCAGCGCATTTGGCTCACCTCCCTTTTATTTACTTAGACACAGAAGCAAGAAGTTAGAGTAGCAGAAGAGTCACCTGCCTCCTGCTATCTAAAGTATATGCCCAGATAGGGCTGGGGATTTAGCTCAGCGGCAAAGCATCTGCCTGGCAAGCGCAAGGTCATGAGTTTGATTCCTGGTATTGGGGAAAAAAAACAGAAAAACAAAAACACCTGAAGTATATGCCCAGGTAAACAACCGGATCTCAGCTGTGTTGACTCTTCCCTGGAACTTGCAATGTGCCAGCATGCCTGCCTGTCGGGGCCTTTCTCCTTTGTGCTCACAGAGGTCAGTTAGGTCTCAATCTTCATATCTGGTCTCCCATACCCGCCTGTTTTGATAGCAGCAGTTCTCAATTACCGCAGCTCATCCCTAGGGGAGGTAGGCAGGAGTACTCATTCTATCTCTTGTCTTGAGGTCGTGCCTCCACAGTAATATATCTCACTGGCTCCTTTTGAGGGCCTAGCCCTGTCTGACTGCCTATAACATTTCTAACTTAGCTGTTCCCCCTTTGAAGAAGAACTCCTAGCTGCCGTGAGGGGGCAAAGGGCGAAGACCTTGCTGGCTACTTCCATCTCGTCTTGACTGACCCCAGCCCCAGCCATCATAGTACAATAAACTCAGCTCCAAGAATTACACTGTCACTCAATCCCAGCCAAGGACAGAAGAAAAAGAAAGCAAGAGATACCAACAAAGCTTTTTCTCTTACAAGGCTCGCTCTGATTTTTTTTGTGTTCCAGGAATCAAACTGAGGACCTTGTGTTTTGCCAGGCAGGCTTTGTGCCACTGAGCTATATCTCCAGCCCTCCAAGGCTCTGATTTTAACAGAGGGAAAGCCTTCTTCCTCATAAACCCCCAGACAGATTTCCCTCATGTTTCATTGGCCATAATTAGACCAGGTGCTGCTGTGTCTCCCTCCCAATATCACCCCATGCTGACAAAGGGAGGACTTTAATCCCAGGCATGCCTTCTTCAGATGCGCCTTTAGCCACAATTCTGATGTGTCCACCTTTCACTGACTTCCTTGAGATCCCAGGCCCTCTTTTACTGATTTTTATCTAACCTAGCTGCCTATAATAATAACAAAAAGCCATTGTTTCAATTGTCCAATCCATTCATTTAATTCAAATTCTAATTTTTTTCTAGCTGGGTGGGAAACTGATTTAACCTCTTTTTGACTGTCTGCTTCATGTTCTGTGGCGGGGGACTGGTAATACCTACCTCCGAGAAACGTGAGAACTGAGCGAAGTGTTGTTGGAAAGCATCCCGTGCCTGGCATGGGGATGGCTCCTGTGGCAGTCAATGTCAGTTGCTTATCCTCCTTTCTCCCCACAAAGGGAATTCTTAGTGCATCCCAGCAGTGGGCAGAGAGCTCCTGAGGTCCGGGAGGGTAGACCCCTTCTCCAGCCCCCATACCTGTCATTAGTCCACACCAGTTATTATCATCTGGAGATTTAGCTCAATGCAAATGCATGCCCGGGGTTCAATCCCCAGTACCAGGGCTGGGGGCAAGCTATATTTCTAAAGACATTATATCCTTAATTTTTCTTTTAATAAACAAGGCCACACAGTGAGAACACTTTTTTTTTTTTTTTGAGACAGGCTTTCACTATGCAGTTCAGGCTGGTCTTGAGCTCACTTTGTAGCCCAGGCTGGCCTCAAACTCACATCCATCCTCCTGCCTCAGCCTTCCGAGTGCTGGGATTACAGGCGTGCACCACACCTGGCCTAAGAACACTTCTAATATCTACTTCTAAACTTCCCTACTTTGTACCCTCACATTTCTAAGAGTAACTTATACTTACTCATTAACTTTACAACTTTATGTGGGAAGAGAGGATTTATGGGGGAACTTGGGGGTGTTAGGCAGAGAAAAGTAGACATAGGAAAAACTAAAAGAGAGGCAGAAGATGGTTCATTACCTTCTAGGGACAGGGGATCCCCATTCAGTATGACTGAGACTATGGGGAAGATTAGGGAGGTTATAGAAGAATGCATTCTTCCATATTGCTTGAATTGCACACAACTTCACAGGTTGAATCTGTTTTAGTAACGAAGTTTTCATTCTGAAAAGACACAATGATAACAGTAGAAGCCAAAGACCTCTCCCAAGGTTGTTCATGACAGAGCAGCTGTCTTCCTCCAAAGAGAATGATCCAAGAGAGAGCAACCAAGACGGCAGCAGGTGGGCAATGTGATGACCAAGTTCGCACACATCACCTCCCAACTGCCACCCAAGGCTGAGGAATTAGCCTCCCCCTGTTCAAGAGGGGAGTAAGCTTTTGAAGACATATTTTCTTACACCGCCGCACAACGTGTGAAGGGCATCATGGCCCAACTAAGCACGCACACAGTGAAGAGCAATTTAAATAGTGAAACATTTCTCTGCAAGCAGCACATCAAAAGCAGTTTCAGAAAGGACGTCATTTGGATGTCACAAAATCTGTCTGAACATTGACATTTACTCCTAATAGTCTCAACAATAACACACGACTCTGCACAATGCTTTTCATACTTTGTTTCCTCAAGGCAGTGCTGATCCTGTCTTGCGGTCACCAGCATCTTTTGAACACTGCCTTCCTGTTAGAGGATTCGCCTCCATCTTGAAGACAGCGTCCTGAGACCAGAACTTGGGTCCTTAGGTCCTCGCACCTAGGACCAGGGCTGGGACCCTTGTTCTTCCATCCATCCCTGCGGAGCGAAAGTGTGTATCTGGAGGACAGCAGCCTGGCCCAGGATCCTGTTTCCAGGCAGGATGATGTGTTGGGCTTGGTCTCCATCCTTAGGCTCTGCGTTCTTCTGGATAGCTATCTCTACCTAGTCCTGCTAACTCGTCACCACAGGACCCATTTTACCCGTCTCAGAACTTCCTTTACCCCATTACTCCACTTAAACAAGCACACACACTAAACCAGTGGTGCAAAAGGATAATGATTGTAAGTGCATAGATTCTGTGAATGAGAGACTGAAAGAGGGGGACAGTAGGGACACCTAGACTGCTGTGTGAGAGCTAGGTGTTTAACTAAAGGGTGAATGGTGAGCTGGACTCCAGCGGTTAACTAGTTGCTGGTTGAAGGACTACCTTGAACAACCACTGTGGCTATTGGGCTTAGATTCCGAGGGCAGGCATCCCAAGACAGAGAAGCACAGCACCCCCCGACCCAGCCCTGGAAGTCACACAGCACCACTGCCAGACACAGCCTGTCTGGGATCTAGCAGGGGGAACCCAGAGTGCCCCCTCTGCCCCCCACGCCCACTGCACGATACTTTTCACACTTTGTCTCCTCAAGGGAGTGTTGATCGTATCCCGCAGTCGCCAGCATCTTTTGAACACACCACGGATGAGAGCGCAGTCAGACCCACCGCGAGGCAGGGAACGTTGGAAGGGAATACTGCTGTGGTTCTTTGGAAATATAAAAGCTGCCACACCCCAGATCCACAGCGGCTCTCCCAGAACTTACCCATAACTCATTAGAGTAACTTGTGCTCCAGGCCCATCCCTGGACAGTAGTCAGGACTGCTGAGAAAACATTTAGCGCAGTCTGGAGGCACCGAAGACGTACTTCTAAGGGGCGCCCTAGCGGGGGCTGTGTTGCTCAGATCGGTCTTGCACCAGGAGCTTGTTGGAAGCTAAATCTGGGATGAAACCCAGTCTCACCCAAGCAGTGTAGCGCCCAGTTCCGCAGACCGTGGAGGGGTGACGGAGGGACTGAGCTCTGCGATGCTCCCCGAAACAGGGCAGCGTGGCCAGCGAGCCTCTTCTCCCGCAGGAGTCTGTAACCCGGCTCCTGGGTGCGGCCTGAACTTCCAGTCCGGGATGTGCACACCCCCTCTACCGGCTCCTGAGAGAACGAAATCCGCCCCTGCGAGCACCGCGCGCAGCCACGCGGGTCGCACAGCGGCAGCCGGCGCTGTCCCCTTGGCATCACCAAGTCTTCAGGGTCCCCGGCTGCGGCGCAGAAGCGCGGTGGTGGGTGCAGCGTGTGGCCCGCGTGCCCTCACTCAGGACGCCCCAGGCCCCGCACGTTCCGGGTCCCCATCGCCCCACTCCGGGGCGAGGCCCGAGCGTCTGTGCTGGTCCCGTTCTCGTGGGCTTCTTGGGGGGCGGCGCAGCCCCCCACAGCCGTCACAGTCGTGTGCCCGGGGCCGGGGCGCCCCACGCACCCCAGGACCGCAGCCCGAGCGAGGCGAGGCCCGGCGTCCAGCGCGATCGCGGCTGCGT